ATATTCAACCAAAAGGGGCTGGACTGTATTCTTTACGTTCACAAGACTTACTGCTAATGTCTCTACCAAGTGTCCGCACTGAAGCGGGTAAGGTGGCATTTCACTATTCTGCCCCCACAACATGGAACAACTTACAAAATTTCTGGAAATTAAAGGAACTGGTTTCAATAGGCCAGTTTAAACTTTTGCTCAAAAGTTTGGAAAAGAAATCTATGGTTTGTGAATGTTTTTAAATAGTCTTATGAAATTGTTATGAAATTGTCTGTAATGTACTGAATTGTTGTGATCTGTGCCGCTGTCTTGGCCAGGACTCCCTTGAAAAAGAGATTAGTAATCTCAACGGGATTTTCCTGGTTAAATAAAGGTTAAAATTTTTTTTAAAAATAAAAATAAAACCATAACTGATTTAATGAGCCATGTGCAGTTTCACTTTACCGACCGTGTGCACTTAGACCTGCATGGCTTAATCTTTGAGACAAGCATATGCTACTGGCAGGATCAACCAGGTAAGAAATCCTGGGAAGGAGAACCGTGACACGCTGGCTTCCTACACACGGGTCTCGCTCCGCTCGGGCCCCGGGGGCTCAAGGACGGCGCGGCCGCTCATAGGGCGTGTGCGGAACCCTCCTCCGTGGGGAAAAGAGGGGGGTGTGTGGCCGCTGAGTCGAAGCCGCAACCGGTAAGGGTGTTTTTCGGGCGGGGCGAAGGTCGGCTCGAAGACTGGAAGGGGCGAGCGTCACCTGGCCCCCCGAACCGTCCGATCCTACCTACGCGCCCACATCCTCCGCCGCCGTCACAGACATTCATTTCCAATAGAGCTGCGGGGCAGGCTGCCGCCTCACTGCATGTTATTGCCATCTTTCAGGGTGCTCAATGACATGCACGAGGGTAGGGCTGATTCAGGGCTCATCCAAGAGCGGCCTGCCACCACCGAACTCGCTCTACGAGTGACGAAGGTGACCGCACGCTCCCTGAGTCAGGTGATGTCCACATGCGTGGTCAGACATCTCTGGCTTAACCTGGTTGATTTGCGCGAGGCTAAGCGAACCTGCTTCCTCAACTCCCCCATATCCCAGGCTGGCCTCTTCGGCGGCGCGGCTGCCCAACAGTTCTCGGCTGCCCAGAAGCAGACTGAGGCTACCAAACTTGTTCTGACCCCGCGGCCAGCTGCTGCCACCCAGACGCCGGCTCAGACACCTCAGTCCGCTTGCCACTGAACGCGCCCTCCTGGGACTTCCGGTCCCTCCCGCCCAGCCCCAGCAGCACCGGGCCGCGCAGGTGGTCGAAGGGAAGGCGCCCCTGCCCATTCCAGTCCCGCAGCCTGCTGAACGCCAGGCGATGCGGCACTCCATTTACGGGCAGTTCAGACATGGGTTGCAGTTCTTTCAGGAAGTGGTTGCAGGGCCACTCCTTCCCCCGGTGGAGGGCCGGGGGAGAACCTCTTCTCCAAAGAACTGACATCCCATCTCTGTTGCTAGATCCCTGACAGAGCAGGCCCCCGTGGAACGCTGGTCCTTCCCTGGCCTTCCTCTGTCAGGATTCGGCATATGATTGTGCCCCCACATCGGGACACTCCACCTCCCACGTCTGGGCCAGTCATTCTGCCTCGCTGCCCCATCGTGGGTACGTCTGTGGTTCACATGACCCCGCTGGTTCAGTTTTGAAGCTTCCAATCTGCCCCACTGGCTCACGAGAATCATCAGCCTCGGCTTTGCGATTCAGTTTGCATGGTCTCCTCCCCGCTCTGGGGAATCCACTATACCGTGGTGGGTGGCAGTGCCCCTGTCATGCGTACGGAGGTCACCCTACTGGGAAGGTTACAATCGAGACCACCCCTCCAGCCGAAATGTAGTCCAGCTTCTTCAGCCCCGACCTCATTGTACCCAAGAAAACCGGTGGGTTTGACCAATCCTGGACCTGCATGTCTTAAACCACTCCCTTCTAAAAAGGTTTCCGTTCAAGATGCTCATGGCCAAACGCATTTTCGAATGTGTGCGGCCACAGGATTGGTTTGCAGCGATCAACCTGAAGGACGCCTACTTCCATGTCTCCTTTCTTCCTCGACACAGACCGTTCCCTAGGTTTGTTTTCGAGAGGCGGACATACAAGTACGCGGTTCTCCCATTCGGGCTAGCCCTGTCTCCTTGTGCCCTTGCCTCAAACAATACCGCAACAGTGGCGTACATCTTCCGACAAGGTGGTCCACGCTCTCGCCGTTTAACGCAACTCGCCCGTCACCTCCTCTTATGGAGTCAGAAGCATCTGAGGTCGCTTCGAGCCATTATATTCCGGGAAACCTAGATAGCCTCTTCCTGGATAATGGTGACTCCCATCCCCAGTCGGATCAGCTACAGATAGACCTGTTTGCCTCCCACGACTTGTCCCATTGCGACCTGTTTTACTCCCTGTCCGAGGGCACGCTCGGCACGGACGCACTGGCGCACAGCCAGTTTACCCCAGTGAGCCTTCTTGCACAGACCCTGTGTAAGATCAGGGAGGACGAGGAGTAGGTCATATTGGTTTCGCCTTATTGGTCCAGCCGTACCTGGTTCTTCAAACTTGTACCCTTTGCGACAGCGCCTCCCTGGCCATTTCCTCTGAGGAAGGACCCTTTCTCAGAGACGAGGCACCCTATGGCACCCTCGTCCTGATCTTTGGAACCTCCACGTGTGGCTCCTGGATAAGACAAGGCAAGTTTGAGTACCCTACCACCAGCGGTGGTGGCTACCATCAGCGGTGGTGGCTACCATCAGTTCCGCAAGAGCATCGTCCACGTGTCATGCCTACGCGTTGGAGTGGAACCTCTTCGTCAACTGGTGCTCTTCTCACCAAGAAGACCCCAGATGGGCCCTATGAAATCCGTTTTATTTATTTTTTATTCATTTCGACTTAACGTAACGTAACCGAGACGTTCTCTGCATTAACATGAATTATCTTGAGCCTGCTGAAATGTTCCTATAAGTATATTTTCTTTACAACTGTGCAATCTGAATAATAAATATATTTCCCACTAACCTGCATCAGTTCAGCGCTCGCCTTCTCATTAATAATTTTCCTGATCATATTTCCATTTTTTAATGAATTTGACTAATAAAAAGGATTGCTCGTGTGCGCTGGTGCTTTTATTCCAGTCTTTTCAAATAGTTGAATGAATTAATGCGCGGTACGTGCCTTAAATAAATGTAACGATGGTAATATTTAATTAATCTTGAACAGTAACACACACAGCGTAGAGAATGACAGTCAACTACTTTGAATATTAATGACCAATTTTGTATTTTGACCAATGAAAAATGACAGAATAGTGATTAAAATATTTAATACAAATAAATAAATGTTCATACTGATCTGATTCTTCACTAGTTTAGACGATCAGCTTGGTGTATTCTGTACACAGTAATCATCAGAATATCTATTTTCTCGTCTCTGAAAATGTCAAAAAATGTTGGTAACACTTTACTTGAAGGGGTGCGCATAAGACTGACATGACACCTTCATAATCATGACATGACACATGTCATGAATATGAAGGAGGGTTTATGCATGTTTACGATAACTGTCATTAAGTGTCATTCGCTCAATTATGTCATTTTTAATGCAAATATGAAATTGTTTGGGATGTCTTTGTTATGACAACTTGACATAAACCAATACATCATAACCTGTCAGTGTCTTGGTAATGGCAACTTGACATTACTAAGACAACACAACACAACCTGTCATAAATATGTCATAAACATGACATAGCAGATTAATTATCAAACTTAAGAAACCACTTAGCTTTATGGGTTAACATTACATTAAACTCATTACCAAGACATTGACAGGTTATGATGTATTGGTTTATGTTAAGTTGTCATAACAAAGACATCTCAAACAATGTCATATTTGCATTATGAAGGTGTCATGTCATGATTATGAAGGTGTCATGTCAGTCTTATGCACACCCCTTCAAGTAAAGTGTTATGGATTTTTTAAAACTCTTCTTGCAGACACTCCTTTTAGTTTGCGTTTATTGAACTCGATGACTACAAGTACATTGAAAATATACATAACCGGAAATAATTTATATGTATTATATCAAAAGGGAAGTGTGTGACGCAGCTCAGTGCAAGTAGCCCGTTCCACAAGTGCAGTGTCTGTGAGCTCACACTGGAACCGCTGGACATGATGAATGAGCATTAGAGAAGTTTATGACAGAGACTTGTGTTGTGGTGTATATCAGCATTTGTGGGCATGAAGGGTCTGATGTCAAGGCATACAGGGGTTAGTAGGGTTGGGTATCGTTTGAATTTTAAATATTTTGATTCCAATAAGGTAATAAAAAAAAAATCTTTGATATCATTGACATTTATTCTTACTGCAACACATTTAATTGTAGCTGAATATCATGAACAAAAATCTACAGGCTAAAGAACACTTACACAAGGAACGCTTGTCTGAGGTTTAAAAATACCATAGAAGAACAACTAGCCTAACTAATATACATTTCAAGCATTATTAAAGACAACTAAACACTCAGTAATTAAAGTAAGTAAAAAATTTGCAATCGCAAAAAAAGGTTACAACTGAACAAAGATACGATTGAAATAAACAGTGTTTTAAGATTTTCAGGTAGAAACTGGAATCAAATGTAAAATAACACTGTACTTTATAGATAACATATACAGTATAAATATAGTTACAAAAGTTATTCAGTCAAAAACGAGTGAATTTTCTCTTTGTCTTTTGTTGTGTGATTAGTGTTATTATAGAGATGGCAGGAATATTAGTGCTGTCACTTTAAGAGCTGCACGGATCCAATATAATGATACACATGAACACAGCGAGTCGTATCACGCTTGAATTTTTTAAAGTCATATTGAAATGCTCACAAAGGAATCGATAAGAGGAATCCAAAATGTAATTTTATTACAAGTATCCAATTCCTGACCTCAAGTATTCGATTCCCAACCCTAGTGGTTAGTGCTAGTGGTGATTCTGTAGCGCGGGAGACTTACGCAGTGAGGATCCGGTGGATCCGCCTCTCAGGATCTGGTTGAGCACGTCGTCGGTGTCGCTGGTGCTCGCCATACTGTTCCTCATCTGCATCATGGAGAGCTGAGAGCACAGGCTCGGCTGGCGGTCCATCTTCTTCACAGCCTACGGTACAATCAGCTTCACTTCAGTTAATCCCAGCACACACACACACACACAAGTGAATCCAGACAGCAACATGAGCCGCGTTTCCACCGCAGGAACTTTCCCCAGGAACTAGGGACTTTGGGCTGGTTCTCGGTGTGTTTAACCCGCAGGAACCAGGGTCTAAATGAAGTTACGGTTAAATATTTACAAGGTAGTACCAGAGCCCGACTGTGTATGACGTCATTGACATTTTAAAAGACTTTTTAAAGCAAATAAGTGACTCTAACACCCAACAATGTGTAATTTCTTTGCATTTCATTTCGAATACAACATTCAAATTACTAGACAAAAAATTATATCCTGAGAAAAGTGGATTTTGAGGGGTATAGCTCCATAGACCTCCATTCATTCTGCACTCGTCCTGTGAGCGCCCTCATATGGAACCAGAGTGGAACTGCAACCAGTTCAGAAGCCGGAAGTTTACTGAGAGTTCTCCCCTTATTAGACATTCTCTGGTAGTACTTTTCCAAAGTTCAGGAACTTTCAGGAGTGGGACTTGGGCTGTCACAGGTGTGGTGCAGATGAAGACAGGCTGAGTCAAAAGGCTCCAATTCAAACATTTACTAACTCAAACTGATACAGGCAGGCAAACGGGCAGAGGGTACACACACAAAGTAACATTAACACTACATAACATTGACGAGAACCGACAAGGACTGACTGAACAGAGGGAAACTAAATACAGATACAAATGAACACTAACGAGGTGAGGACAGGTGACACGGATGATGATGACGATGAACAGGTGTGTAATGAGGGAGTGAGTTCAGGTGTGAAGACACGATGGATTCTGGGAAGTGTAGTGAAGACGAAGACAGGATGGTGCAGACGATAACTGTGACATGGGCGCTGAACATGCTGATTGGTTGAGTTAATGCCGCATTTTGATTTGTTGACTCGACGCAGAATTTTATTTCAACCACCATTTTTTTAAATCTGTTGCGCCGCGTGCAGTAACAGTTGTTTGCTATTCGAATTAATAATGGATTTTAAAAAATATGACAGATGGACCGACGACGAGGTTCAGGCTTTATTAAGCTTAAATTCAGAGGATGAAATCCAGCGGGAACTGTAAAGTAGCACGCAGTCCTATGTCACCGGACTAATTTGCCTAATCTTCAAGGTACTTTAGACCATGGTGGAAAAGCAGACAGCAACAGGTCTGGGGGAAAAACAGTTCCTAGGACAAATTGTTCCGGGTAATTTCGCTGGAAACACGGCTATGGTGTCGGCCCAGATCCAAATGTGGATTCCATGCATGCCGGATCTAGGCCGACACTACAACAAGTATGCATTGAAAACATTTTATGAAAACGCTATTTCTGAAAGTTCTCTGAAAATTAGTTCTTTGAAAATGTTTTTCTAGGGATGCAGTGCACCGATATGAACATTTTGGTCGTTACCGATAACCGATATATTGGCCAATAATCTAAATACAGATTTTTATATAATTTTTGAGAGCCTGATTACAAAAACAAATGTCTCACCATTAAAAGCCATGTCCCAAACACAATTATAATGATGTGCTCATTATAATGTTATGTATCTGATATGACAGACTTGCGCTGCACATGTTGCACTGAACTGTATTTTCCTTTTTTGAAGTGATTCTAATCATATTTCAAGCAATTCAAAACCATCATGTTGAACAGTGTGCATCTGAAGCGTCTCAGCTGAAGGAAATAATACATTATTTATTTGGCTTTAATATATCGGCCGAATCTTCTTATCAGGCTGATAATGATAACATTAAAAATGGATACGGATATGGTGGCCGATATACTGTATCGTGCATCGCTAGTTTTTTCTTGGTTATGTGAACGTTAAGGAAAAATTCCATTTCATCGTTCTTCAAACATTCTGGGAACGTTACTTTAGAATGTTCTCGGCACGTTCCGAAACAAGTAACATTTAAAAAATGTGTCTCCAATTTTTCTTTATATATAAATTGCATAATCTCTGAAGTCAAATAAGTGGTTAATCATCTTGAAACAATAGACAAGAACATCACCAGTCAGTGTTTGGTTCTCATTCATTACTATTTTCCATATTTTAGTTGTTAAAATTGTGAAATAACACATATGGAAGTATGGAATTATGTAGTTACCTAAGTTATGGATTTATGTAGTAAACTATATTTGAAATTCTTCTTTGTCTTTATTCCAGCTCAATCTGTGCACTTCCTCAACCAACTTTATGAGAAGCATCCATGCTTTTAAATATTGGACTGTTTTTGTTTTTTATATGTTTTTAGCAATTAGACTGGTTTTCCTTCACTATTCTCATTTTAAAGCTGCTGTCCGTAACTTTTTTAAGTTAAAAATAATCCAAATTAGTTATTTAAAAAAAAAACATCTTCAGCCAGTGTTCAAAACTATCTGCTTGCCATAGCTAGATTCAAAACGGTTAGCTTGTAATAATGATTTTAATTCCAGTGGTACTGGTGGGTTTTCGCGGGAAATTCGAGCATGTCTTTGCGTCATGACGTCACACCCGTACACATAAAGAAGGAGTTTCGGCTAGCCGGCTATACTGCGCGTGAGGAGATGTAGAGATAGGCTTTTCTCGCAGCACTTTACATAATTAAACTTATGGCATCCAGAAAGATCCAAACAACAATCATCAGTGTCAACTGGAGATTCAGCAGTTATAAAACCCAAACGACTTCGTACTTCGGATTTAAGGTGGAAAGAGAAAGAAACCGTCTCATGCGAACACAAGGATACACATCGGTGGGGCTTTTGAAAGGTGCGTGAACTCCCGAAGGGGTTCGAAACGGAAGAAGAGACGGCTTTTTTCTGCTGAACAAGTAAGACATTTCAATATTTCAATCGTGTAACAGTACGTTTTCTTAATTCACACAGTTATGGAGTTTCCTTTGTTGTGCCTTTCTCGTTTAGCTATTATGGAGAATATGAATTCTGAACTACACAGGTAATCATAAAACACATTAAATAACGTTAGTCACGCAATGCTGATGTTGTTAACATGAACAATTTGAGAACAAAGTAGGCTATGATTTGCACGGTTGCTGTAAATCGCGTTGATTAAATCTAACGAAGCTTGTCATGTCGAATGCTTTTCCCCCCTTAGTTGGTCAGAACAAAAATGGATGTTACTTACTTGTTCAGAAGACATTTTCCGGTGAAAATTCTTATGTTGGTCAAACTTTCAAAAAGTGAATCTGTGATTCTGAATGACAGTATATCCACACAGCGCGGTGACTGACAGCAGCACTCGCCTCAAAGCACTGTGTTCATCCGCGCTGTTTCATGCCGATTTACAACCCACGTAAAGATGATAATTCCGCGAATCACTGCAGTTACAGATTTCGAACAGAGATGGCGACAAAAAGGGAAAAAGCTACGGACTGCAGCTTTAATAAGATTAAAATTTGTATGTAGCCACAGATTATATTCGTCTACAAAAATAATTTTAGGAACATAAGTGGGCATTTAAGATCATCAGAGTCAAAGTCCATTTTAATATATTGTAAAATGTCATTTATTTCTGTGATCAATTTTCAGCATCATTACTCCAGTCTTCAGTGTCACATGATCCTTCAGAAATCATACATAATACATTAAAGTAACACCAGGGAACTTTTGCTCTCGGGGTGGGGTCCCCCTACAGTTGGGAAACAGTATTGTCCTCTAGACCTCTACTACTGTCGTAAACTCTGTCATCCTACATGCACGTGCAATTGTTGACAACCACGATAGCCCTGAACACTGTAGGAGGAGGTCACATGCAGGTGTTCTGCTTGCGTCGCGTGTGAAATGTCTTCATCCGAGGTACAGTGGCATATATTTCAGCTTGTCATATGAATATAATTTAATGGGTTTTATTTTTTTTCTAACGACAAATGATCGCGATGATCACGTTTACAAGCCAGCGTCATTATAGTAGCCTAGTCTATTGGTTACCGTTTTACTGGATCTATACTTCAATGCAATGTTTGAGTGGTTGATAATAACCATATATCGTCAATATTATAATATCAAGCTACCATAAATGAATCTGCAAATTTTACAAATCGATTTGCATTATAGCTTGAGGCAAGACAAATAAACAAATATCACAGACATGTTAGGTATCCTAAAATATGATTTTGTACATCTTATGTATTTACTTGCAAGAATGTAGCCCCTACCAAACTTGTGCACGCCGTTTAGACACAGGCTTTCATTTGATTTTTTTTTTTTGCCAAGTCCGCATCGGTCGGGCACCCCTCCTCCTCCTTCAGCTCACGCCAGCGAGAAAATGCTGGCCCAATGTTGATCCTCGTTCTGCCTTTAACGCGATCACTTTCTCTTTTTCTCTTTTTGCTTTGCTCCAATAAAACCTTTGCTTTCTTGTTTTTCTGTGCTGCTTCGGCCATGACTATAACATTTGGCTCGCACGTCCGATTTTAAGGAAGTGGGGGTGGTGGTGGAAGTGACGTATATGCCGTAAAGCAGTCGAATTTTGTAGTTCTCTTTGTTCGCCGTTACTACCCGAAACCCGAAGTTTAAAAGTACGATTAAAAACGCTACAGACCCCGTCAGGCTATGGCAGACGTGTCATTCAACCTATTGTAAGTCGATGTACCATCACAAGAGACTTGGAAATATATTATGAAGGTTGAAAAGTAACCTAGTGCTGCTTTAATTTATCTTAGAAATATTTTTTAACATTACAAATGTCTTTTGATCAGTTTAATGCATCCTTACTGAATAAAACTGTTTTCAACACTGAAAAATACTCATAAATGTTTCTCTATCATCAAATCATCATATTAGAGTGATTTCTGAAGGATCATGTGACACTGAAGACTGGAGTAATAAAGCTGAAAATTCAGCTTTGATCACAGGAATAAATTACACTTTACTATATATTCACATAGAAAACAGCTGATTTACATTATAATAATATTTTTACATTTTTACAGTATTTTTTTATCAAATAAATCAGAAGAGACCTCTTTAAAAAGAAAAATATTTAAAAACATCTGTATTATTCCAAACGTTTGACCAGTAGAGAGTAACTGGATCTGCCCTGACCTTGTCGCTCAGGGTTGGGTCGTTGAGCGAGTAGAGCTTGTTGGTGATGTCTTTGCCGATGAGGTACCGGAAGACCTCGTTCAGGAACGACTCGGACTCCAGGAAGTACGTCAGACGCTCCCTGGACCAGCACAGGAGCTTGCAGTTCTCCTCAGCGGTGATCGTCACCTGGACAGTCCGGCACAGATCAGTATAAAGAGTGTGTATGACAGGGTACAGCGTGCTTGAATTTGACTTTTTGAAATTGGAGTCCCGGAAAACCCTTTAAAACAGACATATTTATAAAAAAGGTACTTGAAAAGTGTTTGAATTATTGAAAGAAAATGTGAAATTAGTGTTTAATTTTATTGATAAACAAATCTTTTCATGCAATATTAATGCTGGAGCCCGTCTGATATAGATATAGATATTGCTCATAAAAACCCAAGTATATGATACAGCTTTCATTCTTCAGGTCAATCATATATTCATGAGGAAAACAATCAGTTTGAATAAGAAAGCGATATCTTTATCAAAGTATCCTCTCAATGGTTAAAGTTTCCACTGTTATTACATCTGCTGCACTTTATTTGTACCATTTTTTGTTATTAGTTTATTTTTATTTATCCATTTACCTTTTTTTAGAATTTGAAAGATAATAAAAATATTATTTAAAAAGTGAGATCTCTGATTGTAGTCCTACAAAACCAAAAAAGTAGTGCTTGAAAAGTCCTGGAATTTTATCTTACAGCATCTGTACGAATATATATAGTGTCTCCCCACATCTGGGACATGTGGACTCCACGCATACCAGATGTGGGCCGACACTATGTTGCTCTCTGGATTGTTTTACAGTATTATGGAATATGATATATCTATCATATATTTCATATAGTATATATACACTCACCTAAATGATTATTAGGAACACCATACTAATACTGTGTTTGACCCCCTTTCGCCTTCAGAACCGCCTTAATTCTACGCGGCATTGATTCAACAAGGTGCTGAAAGCATTCTTTAGAAATGTTGGCCCATATTGATAGGATAGCATCTTGCAGTTGATGGAGATTTGTGGGATGCACATTCAGGGCACGAAGCTCCCGTTCCACCACATCCCAAAGATGATCTATTGGGTGGAGATCTGGTGACTGTGGGGGCCATTTTAGTGCAGTGAACTCATTGTCATGTTCAAGAAACCAATTTGAAATTATTCGAGCTTTGTGACATGGTGCATTATCCTGCTGGAAGTAGCCATCAGAGGATGGGTACATGGTGGCCATAAAGGGATGGACATGGTCAGAAACAATGCTCAGGTAGGCCGTGGCATTTAAACAATGCTCAATTGGCACTAAGGGGCCTAAAGTGTGCCAAGAAAACATCCCCCACACCATTACACCACCACCACCAGCCTGCACAGTGGTAACAAGGCATGATGGATCCATGTTCTCATTCTGTTTACGCCAAATTCTGACTCTACCATCTGAATGTCTCAACAGAAATCGAGACTCATCAGACCAGGCAACATTTTTCCAGTCTTCAACTGTCCAATTTTGGTGAGCTCTTGCAAATTCTCCTCTGACCTCTAGCATCAACAAGGCATTTTCGCCCACAGGACTGCCGCATACTGGATGTTTTTCCCTTTTCACACCATTCTGTGTAACCCCTATACATGGTTGTGTGTGAAAATCCCAGTAACTGAGCAGATTGTGAAATACTCAGACCGGCCCGTCTGGCACCAACAACCATGCCACGCTCAAAATTGCTTAAATCACCTTTCTTTCCCATTCTGACATTCAGTTTTGAGTTCAGGAGATTGTCTTGACCAGGACCACACCCCTAAATGCATTGAAGCAACTGCCATGTGATTGGTTGATTAGATAATTGCATTAATGAGAAATTGAACAGGTGTTCCTAATAATCATTTAGGTGAGTGTATACAGTCAAACCAAAATTTATTCAGACACCTTCAACAGTTCTCACATTATCTCAGTTTATTCGCTATAGTTTAGGAAATGGTGATAAATATGAGCAGAACTCAGAGTTCTCAGATCAGTGGATATTTGACTGGTTTTGTCCGTCCTTCTGTTAGACTCTCACACATGAATTATGTTGAATATCTGTCAGCTGTTAAATTTAAGAACACAATTAGATAATACCAGTTTAGCTCAACCAGTGACCAAGCAATGCTTCATGTTGTTCAGTCTGTGTGTAAAAAGAGCATTAGCAATTACAGAAAACACACTGAAGAAAAAAACATGATCAGCTCAAAGTGGAGGAATCATTTCTGGTCCCGAATGTGTATAAATGTTACTGGTAGTCACTGTATGAAGAGTTATTGGGTATAATATGTTTACTTTATTTTGCTCTCCTCACTTACATAAATGAACTATAGTGTCCTGCACACACTAGTGAAACATATCAAAAATGTTATCTGGTGTCTGAATCATTTTTGGTTTGACTGGTAATAACAAGAAGCACATATTCAATGGGTATTATGTTTAAATGTCACTCTTACCTGAAACCTCTCTCCCCTGTTCAACTGAGTGGACCTGAACTCAGGAGAGTCGATGAAGGCATTGGTGTAGATATTATGCAAGAAATGGCCGCGGTACGAAACCTTCATCCTGTGTGCAGTGCAGAAACGTGGTCATAAGTCACGCAACACACAGTATTATAGGAGATCTGCACTCTGAGTGACGTAACGCACGCACTTCCCCTTGAGGAGAATGCTGAGGCGCTCGTCCACGGATGTCTTGTCTTCGGCCGCGTAGATCTGGCTCTTCTTCAGGGTCTGGATGGTGCAGAACTGGCCGGTGAGTCTCTGAAACAGAGCTTCTCGCACGTGTAGCGGCTCGAACATGCGCTTGTACACTGACTTCAGCTCCCGGTCGATCTTAATCTGGAGTTAAACAGCACACACACTCAATTCACATTTATTTCTATCGCGCTTTTCACAATACACATCATTTCAAAGCAGCTTTACAGAAAATGCACGAGTCCACATTACAGTTTACAGTGATCTGTTATCAGAGGAAGCTGTCTAAGGTATGCATTTCAGAAATGTACATATACTTTATTAGCCTGACTTCGTCATACTCATATTCTAGTCAGATGTGAGTCTGATGCTGCTCCATAGGGCTTTGATTATGAGGCGTGTCTTAACCGAACCAGAAAAAACAAAAAAAACTCTGCACTCAATTGGATAGACCTACAACCAATCAGAGCAACGCAGTAAGCCAGCTCCATAGTTGCATAGCATATTGTCAACAGAACTCAACTGCACGCACGCTGGAAGAAGTAGTAAAATAATGAGAGTTGCTTCTTTTACTTGGTCCTCCATGAGTGCGACCAAAGGAGAAACCACAACGACCACAGGGCTTTCATTGCGTTCCATCTTCTTAGTGACCATCGGAGCCAGCTGATAAAATAAACTTTTGCCGAATCCCGTAGGAAGGACGGCAAACACATCTTTCCGATCGACAAATGCCTTGTTTGCAGTTCTCTGTGCGTCTTTTAAAATTAATGCGCTGTCGATTTCTTCTACAACAGACGCGATAGCGAAATCTCTACATCTCAGTTCTCCAGCTGCAGTCTCTGAGGAAAACCAGTTAAGCGCTCTTTGATAACGTGAGGATTACGTAACTGCAGATCATCTGTCCATCATCGTATAAAGCCCGCCCTGGCAATTTGATTGGCCCGACTAATTCTGAACCGATCATAATTACTCCTCAATGGATCGAGTCCAGACCGAACTTCCCGACCAAAAAATGTTGTGGGCGGGGTTCGGGCTGGCATCCAGGCTAATACTTTATTACAATTAATGGCAAAAGGAATGTTTGGTAATGTAAACTGATATTTCCTACTGACACACTACAGCAAAATATATAAATCTTTTTTTGTTTTTTGGGGGTGAAAATACTAACGTGCCAGTACTCTCTATATTTTACTAAATAATTTGGACCCTGAAATTTCTATAAAATGAAAGGCAAAAAATTCAAATTTGAAGTTGACGTCACGAAAATTGAGGCCCTTTAGCAAAAATATCCATCAGCCAATAACCACATTAGATTTATTAGTCAATTTCTGTCACAATATCCCTTCTATCACGAAACAGTCACCAAAGATGGAACCTAGACCTTTTCCAAAAATAGCATTTTTTGTCAAGATTAGAAAAAGTTGATTATAAAATAGATAGTGCAGTCAATTTTGTAATATGAATTATGACTCCACCCATTAGGGGGTGGAGCCTACTAAAAGCTTTTAAAGTACCGTTTCCAACACAATGTCCAATTTCAAAACAGTGTTAACAGGATGAATACTGAGGGTTTAAGCTTTCGAATAATACCTCATTTATTAATAAGTATGACGTGACAGGATGAAGAGGCGATAAAAGAAGCCGTGAGTGTATCAGTGATGTCCAGCTGAACTCACCGGTCTGCGTTTATAGAGCAGGAAGAAGAAGTGCATGAAGTTGACCAGCAGGAACACCACGTTCCACACCATCACATCCAGTGTGCATCTGTACAGCGCGGCCCAGGCGATGAGCAGAGAGCAGCCTGAGGTCAGAGGTCACATGATCAAACATCATCAAACATGATCACATGAGCAACACCTCCACCGCTGCACATGTGCACAGATCAAACACCATCAAACTGCAAAGCTTGCCCAGGAATTACACTTTTTTATTATTGAAGGGACATACTTTTTTTCTTTCTCATAATTCAGTCATCTCATAATTCATTCATTTAGACTTTCAAAATATTTATATATTTAAAATGTTAATAAATTAAATAAATATGTTAAAATATTCTTTGCAGATTTTCATATTATTTTTAATTATAACTGATACGACATGCCTAAACATTTATTATTGTTTTCGTGTGATTAAATGTGCTTTTGTCAATTTTATTAGTTTTAAGTTGTTTTTAATTATTCAAAGCTTTATTATTACAATTGTATTTTTTGTAATTGTAGTATACCTATTTCAACTTTCTTTCTATTTTCTTAATTTCTCATATTAATATTTTCTTTATTTTATTTCAGTTTATTTCAATTACTGAAAACAGAATTGTTACAAGTTTAGTGTATCTCACCTTATACTATCACATGTTTTTAAAAGTACATTTAAAGATTATCCGTTCACGATTAATTTAAATTAAAGGTGCATTGTGTAATATTTAGGAGGATCTGTATCATACAGCTAGGATGACTTGAGGGAGAGTAAATCATGGGCTAATTTTCATTTTTGGGTGAACTATCCCTTTTACTATATTTTACTTCCAAATAATAAAATTGTTTCAGTGCATTTGAATGGCATTTTTTATTTTCATGTTAATAAAATGCAATGTTCTACTTCTAACTTCAGAAAGTAGGCTAGGGTCGTATGCACGGGCGCGCGCAGGTGAAACTGCGGTGTCGTGAGTTGTGTGCACGGGCGCGCGCGCTGTACCCGTGATCAGCAGCAGTCTGAGCAGGATCATGTGCAGTGTGAGGGTGGTGGGGATCAGCAGACCCACTCCGAGGCTCAGGTGGGCCAGGTGGAACAGCAGGTGATGAGACTGGGCCCAGTCCTGGCATGACGTGGCGTTCGCGTCACCGGGGAGCGCGGGCACGCTGGAGAGCAGTGGAGATGAAGTGTAGGACAGAGACACGGACATTCTCTCGAGCTGAAGAGGAGATGCAGAAACTGTTACAACTCACACATGCATGAAGCACAAACACGCCAGAATGGTTCCTACAGAAGAGCTTTTATGGTGCATTCTACACAACATACATTTTATTTCATGTCAAATGTTTCTCGTTGCTTTGTCTAAATTGATTCAACTTCGCAAACATTTATCTTACGTGAATAACACACACATATATTCACTGGCACATTCATAAAGCAAAAAACACGCCACAATGGTTCCTTACAGTAGAGGTTATGTTGCATCTGCTATTTTTATTCAATTCAATTCTCATTTATTTGTATCGCGCTTTTCACAATACACATAATTTCAAAGCAGCTTTACAGAAAATACATGAGTCTACATTACAATTTACAGTGATCTGTTATCAGAGGAAACTGTCTAAGTTATGCATTTCAGAAATGTACACATCACAGTTAGCTAAAAATTTATTAATTTAAGTAATGTAATAATTTAAGGCAGAAACAATGAGCTCATTGAAGTAATGAATATTATACAAGAGTGTGCGTTTCATGTTAATTTGTTCTCGTTGCTTGATCTAAATTGATTCAACTTCACCAACATTTATCTTACGTGAATAGCACACACACACACACATGCTATAAATGTCAGTCTGCGCTCCGCAATTATTAGTGACGTGAAAACACTGAAAATTTAAGTCATAAATCGAGAACGCGAACAGAACTATCCTGGAGATTTGCCAACCGAGCAATGCAGTCAGTGTCCTGTGTCCTCCAGTAAACTTTCTAATGAAACACACACACGTGTATCAGCTGTTCTCCGTGTGAATCTCACACAGCTTCAGTTAAAAGAAGATGGCACTTTATAGTACATTATTATAGATATTATTCACAGTATTGCCTACTCACCGGAGTTGAGGTTGAAGTTGTAATGTGCGCGGTCTGGAGGAATGTCCAGTAGAAGATAACAGATTGTGTGTGTGTGTGAGAGGAGCGCAATGACAGGCATTGACTTAAAATGGGCACAAACCAAGCGGCCACTCCTCTGCGCGTGCACGCGACTCCACCGCTAGAGGGCGTCTGTTTTTCCTCAATAGACTATTTAATAGGTTTAATATGTTTCCTGAAATGCACAGTTCGTGTGTAAAGCAAAATAAAAAAAAAACTAGTGAAACAGAACAATCTCAGGTCAATAACAGTGTTCTGTTTCATATGACGGACGATAGATGATGTACTGATAATACAGAGGAAATTAATATGAGAGCTTATATTCAGCTAAATGCTGAAAGTGAATCTCTCATCCATCCAAACACAGCGTTCCCACAAACACAGACACGTTACAACGGCACAACACTTCTCCTTCAGAACAGCTGATTCTAGTGATGTTCTAACTGTGATTTCTGATCATACAAATAAATAAAACAAGGACATTTTGGGGGGGAAACATCCCAAGTGCATCCCATATAACTCATCTTTGATCACCAGAGTGACATATTTAAAGTTTTTTCCTTGAAAAAAAATTCTTCATGCCTTAAAATAGAGATAATCGGATGGTGTCAGGTCCGTGTTATGTACGTCAGGTCTGAAAGTGACAGCAGCCTAATATACTTGCTGCTGTCTGTGCCATTAAAGGGTTAGTTCACCCAAAAATGAAAATGATGTCATTAATGACTCTCCCTCATGTCGTCCCAAGCCCGTAAGACCTCCGTTCATCTTCAGAACACAGTTTAAAATATTTTAGATTTAGTCCGAGAGCTTTCTGTCCCTCCATTGTAAATGTATGTACGGTATACTGTCCTTGTCCAGAAAGGAAATAAAGACATCATCAAAGTAGTCCATGTGACATCAGTGGGTTAGTTAGAATGTGTTGAAGCATCGAAAATACATTTTGGTCCAAAAATAACAAAAACTACGACTTTATTCAGCATTGTATCGTCTTCCGGTTCTGTTGTGGATCCGCGTTCAGTGCCGCTGCTGATGTAAGACGCTGCTGACGTGTGTCTGGTGCGCCCGAGCTTCGTTTACAGTCTGAGGGAGACGCACGCTGGAAACAAAACAATCTCCGCAAACATGTCTAAGGATTTCCACACAGAGGAACACATTCCACACATTTTTTTGCCCAGCCATATTTATTTGAACCCGAATACACGGACACACCAGAGACACGTCAGCAGCGTCTTACGTCAGCAGCGGCACTGAACGCGGATCCACAACAGAACCGGAAGACAATACAATGCTGAATAAAGTCATAGCTTTTGTCTAAAATATCTTAAACTGTGTTCCGAAGATGAACAGAGGTCTTACGGGCTTGGAACGACATGAGGGTGAGTCATTAATGACATCATTTTCATTTTTGGGTGAACTAACCCTTTAATGTTAATTAAAGTACAAAAGACAAAGAGAAAATCACTCACTGCTCTTGACTGAATCACTTTTGTAGATTTAAAGGTGCAGTACGTGATTTCTGAGACACAATCTAAACAATAAACCACAAGGACAAGATTTTTGGGGGAAAACATCCCAAGTGCATTCAAGATTAAAAAACAAAACAAAACAATAAATGGCAGAAATTAATAATGACAATCGATTAAGAGTAGACATGTGGTGCGCGCTTCTCACGAGTCTCTCTCCGCCGGTTTGGCTTCACTCTCTTCCAGCACTCGACGGGATTCACTCGTGTGTTCTCCAGCCGGCTCTGGCGCGTGACAGAAGCTCGGTAACCGCAGATCGTAGCGGAACCCGCGCGCGTCGAAGGCCCTGTCGTTCAGAGAGAAGAGTTTCTCCGCGATGTCGTTGCGCACGAGCAGCGCGAAGATCTTGGCGATGTAGCGGTGGCGCGCGAACAGCAGGTAGAGCTTCTTCCTTCGCCACGACACGAACCTGGAGCGCGTGTCCGCTCGCAACGTCACCTGAACAACACAACACGGCCCGTTACACACCACACAGCGGGAACGCATAATATGAGCTATTTAATAATCATTCACCTGGAAAAATCCTTCTTCTGAGGGTCTGAGGGAGTCCCACTCTGGGGAGTCCAGGAACTGAAATGGATGGATGAAGTGCAAAAACTCCCCGTTCACCGTCACCCGGATCCTATTGTGGAGAGAGATGTGCGATATATATCATCTACTATAATATGCTATAGTTGTTTTAACAATGAGCGATGTGACATTATCGAGTATGTATCCTTTACAGAAACATATGGAGCTAGAAATGTGTCTTTATTACATGCGAGAAAATAAATGATCTGAGAGAAAAAAAAAAGTTTGAGAGAAAAAGTTATCACACTGATAGCAAAAAAAGCATTTCATGAGAGAAAAAATAATATTTGAGACTAAAAAAAGTTTTGAGAGAAAGTATTTTCTCATAGAACATAAAAAAATATAAATTTGACATTTTTAAAATTATTTCTGAGAAAAAAATCTCTCTCAAAATACTTTGAAAAAAATCTTAAATATATATTTTTTGCTATCAGTGTGAAAACATTTTCTCTAAAAAAAAAAGTGTTTCTCTCAAACCGCTTTTCTTTGCTCTCAATGCATTTTTTTTGCTCTCGTGTCAGGATTTTGCTTTCGCTGTGAAAATTGTGTCATGGGCGGGGCCACGTTCTTTTTTTCCTATTGGAACGTTCCTATTGGCCAGTCGGGTGAGCATCGTCTTGTCTTGGGAGTCGAACTGAATCATTACACCATTGTTCGCGTTCGGTTCACCGTCGTAGATAGATGCCTCCTCTGCCTTAGTTGAGCACAGACACTCCAAAGTTTGGGTAAAATGATGACACACACACACAACTCGATGGGTTGCTGGCTGAGCAAGTTCAGCATCACTGAAGATTAAACATTAAAAAATAGCACTCATGCAAGTTTACCTAGCATGATGGCTAATTAATAATTAAGCTTTACTAGCGGTTAGCAAGCTAATAATATAATACACATTCATTCATGAATATGAGTGCTATTTTTAATGTTTAATCTTCAGTGATGCTGAACTTGCTCAGCCAGCTAACATCCAGTTGTGTGTGTCATCACCTTACCCAAACATTGGAGTTTCCGTGCTCAACTTAGAGCTTAGATCGGGCCCAAAAAATCAAGCCCGACCCTACCCGAGCTGTGCACGTTGTGTCCGAGCCCGGCCTGACACATTAACTATAATTATGAGCCCGAGCCCGATTTAAACCCGGCCATTTTAATACATGGGACGTTATGACTGACGTTCTCAACTACTTTCTATGTTACTTTCTCCTCCTCCTCCTCTGTTCTGCACCTCCAAAAGACCAAATACTTTCAAGTTAGCCTACGTGTCGCCATCATACACATCACCATAAATGCTCACTGATAAATTATTTGTTATTAAAGCGGTGAGGGGAGTCTATCTTAAATGCTTCTGATTGGCCATTGCGTTCAAGAAATCAACACATATGTCTGTGATTGGCTACATCGCTCAACGCTGCAAACATGTTATAAAACGAAACTCTGGCCTGTAAATCATTTGTATTTTGTTTTAGTTGTTCTTGTTGCTTTTCTGCAACAGATGAATAAAAATGTATTCGTTTTTATGTTTTATTCATAGATATTTCTAGTTTGCGGGAGTCCCACGAATCGTTTTATTCTCCCTGAACCCTCACACACAGAGTGAGAGCATTACAGCCCGCGCCCGCGCTCGCACTCGGCCATCAAATCTAGTCCCGCGCCGCACTCTATTGCGTTGGGAGTGCACGTCTCTAGATCAAAGGCCCGGCCCGGCCCGGCCCGGCCCGAGGATAGTGACGGGAAATTTCGGCCCGACCTCAGGCTCGGGCAGAGAATCTAAAGGCAGAGGAGGCATCTATCTAGGTGAACCGAACAATGGTGTAATGATTCAGTTCGACTCCCAAGACAAGACGATGCTCACCCGACTGGCCAATAGGAACGTTCCAATAGGAAAAAAAGAACGTGGCCCCGCCCATGACACAATTTTCACAGCGAAAGCAAAATCCTGACATGAGAGCAAAAAATTGCATTGAGAGCAAAGAAAAGTGGTTTGAGAGAAACACTTTTTTTTTTTTTAGAAAATGTTTTCACACTGATAGCAAAAAATATATATTTAAGATTTTTTTTCAAAGTATTTTGAGAGAGATTTTTTTTCTCAGAAATAATTTTAACAATTTCAAATTTATATTTTTTTATGTTCTATGAGAAAATACTTTATCTCAAAACTTTTTTTAGTCTCAAATATTATTTTTTTGCTATTGATATGAAAACTTTTTCTCTCAAATATAATTTTTTCTCTCATGAAATGCTTTTTTGCTATCAGTGTGATAACTTTTTCTCTCAAACTTTTTTTTTTCTCTCAGATCATTTATTTTCTCGCATGTAATAAAGACACATTTCTAGCTCCATAGAAACACACCTAGAGCGCGCACGCATACACTACATAATGTAGTCTAGTATGGTTCGTGCTTGCGCATTTAGAGCGCACGCATTCACTGCGCGATTTAGTCTATTAAAATGCATTTAACTGCACAGAATATTCAAGATAAGGGGGCAAAAATACCTCTTTATATATTTATATAATTTAATATAGTTAATCAAGATCACAAAAAGAGTGCCGTTTTTTCTCCAAATAGTATCAGCATGATTAATATGTTATTAATTTTATCCAACAGTTCAATAAACAAGAAGTTAATATTAAGTGACTTACATTCTTGACACAATATCACCTGTTTTTGCTCTATTTCACCAATGAAAAGTCAGTAGCACCTCATTGCAGTACACGAGATCCAGGGGGCGGAGTTGGATCCAGATCTAAGGGGTGGAGATGGGTAGGATTAGGGGTGGGGTTAGGGATCAGGGGGTGGAGATGGGTAGCTTTAGGTATTTGTAAGGTGGGAGGAGTTGGGAGGCAGGACTCCTCCCCCTGGATTTCGTGTTCTGCAGTGAGGACCATCTCAAAATAGTTCCAAACAAAGACATGGACTGTTTTGTGTCTCTGTTTCATTACTGAGTGAATGATCCGTTATTTGTTGCGTAGTGACGTGTGTGTTCAAGTAAGCCAGAAATGAGCAGATTCTGCTCAATACGCTGTATTTAATATATCATGAGGAC